CTAAATAAACTAAACAATTTTTACATCACATTAAGCTTTGTTAATGTTAGGTAACAAAAATATTTTATTAACTAAAAGGATTCTATTTATTTTTATTCCTTTAATTTTGAATTATTTAAACACAAATATTTAATTTAAATACAAAATAATTTGTGATTTTATAATTTTATATGTTGAAATTAACATCAACTAAGAAGTTTTGTTGAAATTAAACATCAACCAGGAGTGTTGTTTATTATTAGTTCATATATTAACTAATGTGTTTAACTAACAAATAAAACCTCATTGTAAAGTGTTGCCAAAATGTGTTTGTAAGTTTTACAATAAAATTCAACAGTAAAATTTGTTAATTGACTAAACTGTAAGTTAATTTATGTTTTTTATTTGCAGGAAAAAAAAATAAAAATTGACAGTATTTTACAGTAAAATTACATATAATGTGATTAACGTAACAAGGGTTCATTAATGTGAAACACATATTGCTCATAGTTAATGTTAAGTAATGCATTAACAAATGTTAACGAATGAGACCGTATTGTAAAGTATGGGGTCATGTGATGTGCAGCGGGTCGTTAGTGCAGACTCGTGTCTCTCGTCCAATCAGAAGCTGAGCTTGTTGAGCCGCTGGTCTTCATCAGACGCGGTGCTAATTGGGCCGAATGCACTATTGTGAAGGAGGAGAAGTCGTGGAGCTCTACAAACACACTCATTACAGTCCTGGCTAATTATTCCACAGACAGGAAGAGCTCGTTAGGCTGAACTGATGGACGGAGCGCTGAGACTCTACACTGATTAACACAACTTTAAATCACAGCCTCATTCAGAACTAATTCAACAACATATCAGAGAGAGTAAATATATAAAGTGCTCTTATTCTCAGTTAATAATGCTGTTCAGAAGCAGCTGAACGTTTGATGATGTGTGATGTTTCTATAGATTATTCTAGATTTATTAAAGGAATAGATCAGCCAACAGTTTATCCGAGATTAGGATGAATTTGTTTCTTCATCAGATTTGTAGAAATGTATCATTTAAGATGAATTAAGCTGCTCCCTTAATGAAGTGGCTCCTCTTTAATCAATTACCGTCACTGCGCTGATTTGAACGTGTTGATAAACACATTAATATATTCCATATGTCTGATAAACACAGCCGTGTGTGACGGTGAGACTCACTCATCTGCTCTCTGAACATGTTCGTCACGGGTCTGAACACGCAATAATCATGTCATGACCCAAGTTCATTCGCCACAAAACCACAGGTATCTGCTGCTTTTGAGAGAAAAAGGCTCTAATTGTGATTTATTTTTTTCTGATTAAAATTTGTGATTTAAAGTTTTAACAAATTTATTTATTTATGTATTTGTAATTTCTAAAATAAAATTTTCTTCTTAATATTATTCGATTTTTGTCATTTCTAAAATAAAATTATCATTATTATTATTATTATTATTATTATATTTTTGTAATTTCTCAAATAAAATTATTATTATTATTTTTATTATTTTATTTTATTATTATTATTTTATTATATATTTTTGTAATTTCTCAAATAAAGTCTTAAACTTATTTTCAGCTAGTTCCCAAGGTAACTTTTTTTTGTTTAACTTGTAGTAAATATATTAAAATAACTAAAACTAGAACTGATATAAAAATAATAAAAACTATATAAACATATTTTTTTAAACAGCACAAAAACACACAACAAAATTACTAAAGCTTTGACTAAAATTAAAGTGAAAACAGAACATATAAAAAATAAATAAAATAAGAAATATTATAATTAAATTATAAAATAATTATAACATGTTAAATAGTATTGTTGTTGTTATTTAAATAAAAATATACAAAATGTGTATTGTAATTCAGTTCAATTCAAGTTTATCTGTATAGTGCTTTTCACGATACAAATCGCTGCAAAGCAAGCAGCTTTACAGAAAATTCAAGTTTCTACATTATATTTAGTAGCAGCTTATCAGTGGTGGCTATCTCAATTTGATGTCCATATGGCAGAAATGTACAGTAAAAAATCATGAAACGTTTTGGACAGTTTTACAACTCAAAAGTGTTTCAGAACCAGTGTTGGGCAAGTTACTTCCCAAATGTAATACATTATATATTACTTATTACTGCCTTTTGAAAGTAATTAGTTACATTACAATATTACTGTCTCTGAATTGTAATGTGTTACACTACTTTTGAGTTACTTTTGAGTTACTTTCAATTTCAACGATACAAATCGCTGCAAAGCAAGCAGCTTTACAGAAAATTCAAGTTTCTACATTATATTTAGTAGCAGCTTATCAGTGGTGGCTATCTCAATTTGATGTCCATATGGCAGAAATGTACAGTAAAAAATCATGAAACGTTTTGGACAGTTTTACAACTCAAAAGTGTTTCAGAACCAGTGTTGGGCAAGTTACTTCCCAAATGTAATACATTATATATTACTTATTACTGCCTTTTGAAAGTAATTAGTTACATTACATTATTACAGTCTCTGAATTTTAATGCGTTACACTACTTTTGAATTACTTTCACTTTCAAGCACAAACCGCAATTACATTCAGAAATAATAACAGTAAATAAAGCGGAATGTTATAGGCCCTAATGAACAAGCAATAAACACAATAGCAAGTCTATAGGCTATTTTAGTTCTCCTCACTCCACAACAAATCCTTTAAATTGAACTGTAGCCTATTCAGAACAAAACAAGAATGAAAAATATAAATTGCTAAACAAGCCAAAACGAATTAATTTAAAGGGAAACTGAAAGCAAACGCCTTTGTTCTCATGCAGCCGCCTCTATCATTCGGCACGAATCCATGTTTCTATATTCGCGATGTATTTGAGTGAGGCGCCGGCGTGATCGATCAGCGGAAACATAATAACATATGAAAAGCAAGAGACGAGGGCTAAGGACCACTAAGGATGAGTCCAGGCAGGATGGCCTCTCTCCATGTCAAAGAGGGGGGCTAATGGTGGAGCAGGGGCTGTAGAGGCAAGGGGGCAACAAAAGCCCTATTCAGTATGAATGAGTCCCCCACACAGCCAGAGACAGGGGGAATTCCTGTAACTCCCCACTGTGCTGGAATGATATGAAAAGATTACCATACCAGTGGAAGTTCCACGCTATCCATGTAGCCATGGATATCCATAGGAGAGAAACTTGACCCTTGTGATTTATATAATATTGGGAAACTCCTTTACTGCCATGCAAAAACCTCATTTGCACATTTGCTCTCGTAATTTTCAGCTCATTTTGAAAATCTAGCAGTGTTCTGTATTCTGAATGGTAGAAGATTGGATAGAGCTTTTGAGGAAACTGAAGAAGGCATACTTTCATAATTATGCATGAGTGTGTTCACAAATAAATGAATCTTTGTGATTTCATTTAAGGGTGTTTCTTCAGCTATGGGCACTTTCAAAATCAGGTCAATTCCAGGCGAATTGTCAATTTTTTTCTGAAAGTAATGCATTTTCCCCACAGTGTAATTTCCACCATCTTGTTCTGTGTATTCTGTGGTGGAAATGACACTTAAAATGCTATGGAATAAAATGTACAACTCCTTCCTACTCCTTGCTGACAGTTAAAATGTTATATACAAATCATAATTTCATCTTTTGACTATATAATAAAATAATTTGTCAATATTTTAAACATTATGGCCAGTTGTAGTGTCAGCATAGTGAATAAATGTGCTTTTTTTCAAAAGTATAAATATATACAGTGCTGGGCAAGTTACTTCCAAAATGTAATACATTATATATTACTTATTACTGCCTTTTGAAAGTAATTAGTTACATTACAATATTACTGTCTCTGAATTGTAATGTGTTACACTACTTTTGAGTTACTTTTGAGTTACTTTCACTTTCAAGCACAAACCGCAATTACATTCAGAAATAATAGCGGTAAATAAAGCGGAATGTTTTAGGCCCTAATGAACAAGCAATAAACACAATAGCAAGTCTATAGGCTATTTTAGTTCTCCTCACTCCACAACAAATCCTTTAAATTGAACTGTAGCCTATTCAGAACAAAACAAGAATGAAAAATATAAATTGCTAAACAAGCCAAAACGAATTAATTTAAAGGGAAACTGAAAGCAAACGCCTTTGTTCTCATGCAGCCGCCTCTATCATTCGGCACGAATCCATGTTTCTATATTCGCGATGTATTTGAGTGAGGCGCCGGCGTGATCGATCAGCGGAAACATAAAATAGCCTACTCCGTAATTGTTGGTCATACAGATCCTTCGAAACTGCAATGTGTTTACTTTTATTTTAGGATGCGCTTGTCATCTCGGTTTCCTTTCCGTGAACTTTTGCAGAGCGCCGCGCCACAAAAATTAACCAAGGTCAGCAGCATATTTTACTTTTTTCTTTAGTTTTGTTAATCTGTTAATGATTTAAGTCAATATATATTTCGCGTATTAATTCCTTTTATATGTAGACTATGATTTAATAAAAACAGATTGTTATTTTTAGTTAAACTTAATTTGTTGCTCGTCCGCCGCATTCTTTCACTTCTCCGACCCCGCAGTATGCCCATCTCACAAATGTAGAATCCGTCTCAGTCATCTCAACCATCGAATTACAGCAACAGGAAATAGGCTAGACAAAGTATTTTACCCGAGGAATTTATTGTCTGGTGCTGTTTTGTGGTGTTGGAATTTATTGTCTGGTACTGTTTTGTGGTGTTGGTAAATAAATTCACCACTTAATTTTGAGTTAAAATATGTTGTTGTAACGTGCGTTACTGAGATTGTAACGAGTAATAATATTATCCAAATTTTATTAGTAATGCGTTATATTACTGCATTACAGCAAAAAGTAATATACTACTGTAATATCGTTACTTTTGTAATGCGTTACTCCCAACACTGGTCAGAACGCAATACGTTTCATTCACAGTAACTCACTCGACTGACAATCCAACAGTCCAGAAGTGCAGAGAATGACTGGGTTTATCATTTATTTGGGGTTTATCGTCCACAGGTTCTGCGTTCATGATGGTGAACTCAACGGCTCGGTTCGCGGGTCAGAAGGCTTTGCTCTTCATGCCGCAGCTGAAGGAGAACGACACGCACTGCGTCATTTTCCAGTATTACGTGGCGGTACGAGAGGGAGGACGGCCTGGACATCTGAACGTCTACATCAAGGAGAACAACAGCCCCATGGGTTTGCCTGTGTGGAACACGTCTGGACCGGCCCGACGCAGCTGGAGCCAGGTGGAGCTCGCCATCAGCACATACTGGCCCAACTTCTACCAGGTGAGATTCACTCACACACAGGGTCGGGAATCGAAAATCAATGCCAATTCCAGAATCGGATACTTAAAGGGGTCATCGGATGCTACATGCACTTTTACAAGTTGTTTGAAATGAAATGTGTTGGCAGTGTGTGTACACAACGTCATCATTTACTCCCGACATCTGAGCCACTGAAGACGCAGTGGATTACGTTTGTTTTTGAAGGGAATGCGCCTCGATCTACATAAATGCGTCTATGTTTGTGCGAATCAGTCGTGATCCAACCTCACTTCCAGAAGAAGTGAGTATAAGATTTTTAATGAATCTTTGCAAATCGCCTTTCCTAATAATATGCTAATTAACAAGTTTCACGATGAATGCGACATATCAACTTGTGGAAAATGGGCATCCGATGACCCCTTTAAGGTCAGGAATCGGATACTTGTTGTAAAATTAAAGGGGTGGCTGATTGTGATTTCACTTTTTTAACGTTAGTTAGCGTGTAATGTTGCTGTTTGAGCATAAACTATATCTGGAAAGTTACGACGCTGAACGTTCATTGCAAACGGAGATATCGTCTTTTACTAATTCCAAGTATGGGTCACCATACTTGGCCACATGTCACGTCACTTTAAAAAAAAATTATGGCAGTTTAATGCCTACAAAAACGGCTGGTAGGGACTACAACAAGCTTCTTCCCGGGTTCGTGACGTCACAAAACCTGAAATTTACATAAACCCCGCCCCCGGGAACATGCAACAAAGGGGGCGGGGCCATGTTGCGCTACTTTAGAGAAGAGGAAGAGTTGTTGCCATGCCGTGAAAA